AGATAAACGTGCAAGATCCGTAACTCGAGAAAGCGAGAGGAAGATGATGCACGACACGTTTGTCATCTTCTGGATATTAGACGGCGTTTATGTCTCTCTTTCGCTGACAGGCTAGTCTTTGAGGTTAATAATAAATGAAATTAACACCTCTTTTTCTTATTTATTAGTCATTATTTTTGTGTCAAGCATTTTATGGGTGTATTTGATTTTATTAACAAAAATAAATTTTTTAACAATAAAGTTCAATTCAAACCGAGAGACTTATTTTCTCGTTAAAAAACTTCCTGATACAGCCTGACATGATCATATTTAATTTTTTATATGATCATATATGTCCTAATATATCCTCATATTGAAAGTTTACATATATCGACATATATGTTCATATAAAAAATTATATACACGCATATCAGGCCACACCAGAAATTTTTTTCGAGGATCTTTTAATAAGACACTATCAAGGGAATAATTACTTGACTATAAAGCACTGAAATGATATATGTATGCACACACAAGATATAATAACGTTTATAAAGGTTGGTTAAATTCAAATTTGAAAGTGTGTGTTTAATAGTGAATAGAAGTAAAAGCGACACGTGCGCCTGGATAATCGTGTCTGAAGACGAAGATGAAGAGGAAGACGCCAGCAGTGGTAAGGCTCGAGGGGTGAGAAGAAATAGAAGGATAAAGGAAGACGGACAACGCCAGGGGGAGGTAGCAATTAACTTCTCCTCGCAAGATTAGAGCGAGATATTACGAGATATCGAGCGAGACTTAATGGCAACACGCGAGAGACTTCAAAGGCGGTAATAAACTGCCTCTAATGAACCCCTTATCGCCAACGCTCCTACCCTCCGCCACCTACTCTCTCGCTCTATCCACCCTCCGAGCACACACTTTCGTTCATTTTTTACACTAGTTACCTCTTACCTCTTACCTCTTACTATTTTTACCGCACACAATACTCGTATAAACTCATTATTCATTATTCATTAATTCTCCTTCCCGGTTTTTATTATTTTTCTTTTATTGCTTTGTCAATATACATTTTTACATATATATATATATATATATATTTGCACACATACGCACAATTTTAACCGGTTTCTTTCTCCCTTTAAAAAGTACTCAATATTCACGTAACGAGTTATCTTTTGAACAGTCGCTTGTAATGAGGTAGACGCTAATTTTAAAGCTGATAAGAAATTAGGGCAAATTGATTTACTTTTTAATAGCTAGCTATTATTTTTAAGTAGTTTAGATAAAGTAATTTGCTTTAAATAATAATATTGTTTTAACATTTTTGTCATTTATTTTTTTACAATGCAAAAAAAAAATTAACGATTTAAGAGAAAAATTCTTGAACCAAAAAAATCATTTTCAAGAGCTTTCTCTAGTAAATTTTATTTGATTCAAAAATTTTTCTCCTGAATCAAGTAAATTTTTTTTTTTTTAGTGTAGACAAATTGACATAAAAGTACGAAAATATACAATTGAATCTCGAAACGTTCTATTGAAATGAAATTGTAGAAATTAAAATAATTGAAGCTCTAAAAATAAAAAATCTCAAAAAAAAAAAATAATATTTAACAGTCTAATTTTTTAAACAAAAACAAAATATCAGACTAACCCTAAGCCGGAGATATTTTTGGTTCGTTTCTCTTTGGTATACCTCATTGCGTCAAGCCCAATCATGTTGATTCAACAAAGTACTACAACAACCAGTTACCAAATTGCCAGAATTTGGTATTCGGCCAGGTAGAGAAGCTGAGGGACGCAGAGGATGATGCACGTAGAGAGCCAGCCCAAACCAAGACGACCTAAGTTGAGTTGAGCAGAGACGATTCTACGATTCAGAGCAGAGGAAGAAGGATCCGATCCGATCCTATCCCGGTTTAAGCCAGTCTGATTGCACATCTAGGCCAACACAGGGACCGCGTGACGTTGGGCTGACGCACTCCACCGGAAACCCACCGCGATGATTGGCCCTCCGTATCCGTCCTCCAAAGTCGCGTCGACCAAACTCTCACTCCAGCTCCAGCTCCAGTTCCTACAACCACACACTACATCTCGAACTACTTCTGCCTCTACCCTTCCCCTCATACATAAAAATCAAACACACATTCGTATGTATACATCCATCTTCATACTTATATTTTTACTCGCTCACTTGCTCTCTCAATTCCACGTCTACGTATCGCCAAATGCCGACAGCCAAGAGAGGAATGATTGGACGCATCCCGGTGATTGTGCAACGGCACCCACCTCTCCCGTTTTCTGTCTCATTTTCTCCGCCGCTTTAGGAGAAGTAGCTGTAGTGTAGCTTCATTCCACACACACACACACACACACACACGACTAACAGCATAGCAGTCAACCCCCGAACGACAGTAGCTTCTGCACAAGTACCGCAACCCCACTTCTCGTCTCTTTCCAGCACACATACACGTACACGTACTCGTAAATAAACGTATAGGTATAGATAGATGCCTGTAAATCGAGTTTACCCTCTTGCCGTAGCTCAGCCCTTCAATCAAACTGATTGAAACATTCCTTGAATCCAAAAGAAACGAGCCATCTCTATCATCTTCTATTCCCCTTATTCATCTCGCTCTGGCCCATGCACACACCTGCTCATCTGGGCCACGTGCTCGAGGTTTTATTTGTTTATTTTATCGACGCGAGCTTTGGGAAAACGTTTTTCATTCACTTTCCTTCCTTTCTTCCATTCCCTCTACGAGAGACTCTGCTCCTTACTCAAAAACATTCGGTTTCCTGCATCAATAATACTTTTCATTTATATAAACCGTTTATTTATCTTTTTTTAGCTTTTTCTTTTTTTTTTTTTATTATTCTTGTCTGTTCTACTCGACTCTGTTCCAGTTTCATCCTATTTTTTCAATTATTTAGTTATTCGTTTTTATAACAACTTGAAATAGACAAACGATTGATAAGATTCTATTACCTTTTTTTTTTTTTGTTTTTTTTTCTGTTCTACACTTTGTTCCCACTGGCATGGGAAAAAATCGGATAATTTAAAATGGATTTGATGGGAATAAAACAGTGACAGCTAAAGTATTCAGGGAGAAAAAATTTACGTTAAATTGTGCCTGACATGATTTTAAAGTGCTAGATAAATTTTATTAATTTACAGTCTTTTAAATTCAAATCTCACAATTTTTAAATTTAAATTCCTTCAACATATTATTATTACTCGACAAATAAATTTCATTTATTTTATTTATTCTCAAGTTATTATAATGGAATAAACGTAATAGAGTGTGTAGTATTTTTTGCGATTTGAATTTATTAACTTCTGAGAGTAAATAAAGTAAAATAAAAAAAAAAGCACTTGTTGTAAATTGTAAACTTATTACGATACATTAAACAGCGGATTATTTTAAAAGTAAAAAGCAGTAATTGGCTTAGAGATACTTTGTTCGTATTTTGTTCGTTTGGGACCTTAAGTGATTATATGTCGAGTACATTGAGTACAAAGTATTAAGTGCATACTCGGAGTAAATACTGTGCAGAGTAGTGGGTACAGAGTGCTTCATGACAGTTGAAGGAAAAATAAGTACGAGTTCAAGAGGAGGCAAAAAGATGAGCCACGGGTGAAATAAAAGAGATAAATAACCGAGTGGAGAGATAGATGAGATCAAGAGCGAGATCCGAGAGTATCCGACGGTTAAACCTTAAGAACTAAGCCGAGAAATGGTAGGTCTGGTATACTGTATAGTATAGACGGGCCGAGTAGAGCCAGCAACAGCACGTCGATCTATTCCGAGCGGCGGACGGGTCCACCTAATGTAATGTAAGTCGACGTCTGTTTCTCATTAAATTGTACTCTGACCTCGAATCCTCTAAATTTGGAACAACGGTCCTAGTCCCCAGCGATTACCTAGCTTCGAGCTTTGTAACACATTCACTGCCTTAGTATCAACCACATGTAACATCTAACATCTAACTCTTCCAAATAATAATTATGTGTTGTGCTAATATACTGCTCTAAAATTATTATTCGGATACGGACTACGTTGTGGTGTGAACGTTTTTGAGGGATCGTCGACAGTTGTTTATTTTTTGACCCATCAATAAAAACTTTAACCTCATGTGTTATAATCTAATAAAAATAATTTGTGAGAGTTTAAAGTTTAAATTTTTTTTAATAGTTTTGATATCTTCAATAATATTAACAGACATATTTATTAACTTAAGTAATTAAGAAATTATTGTTTAATTTATTAATCATTTAATTTTTCAAATTTTTTATAAAAACATTTTAATTATTGCATTTATTATTAGGCTAATAAACGAATATCTTTATGTGAATTAAATAAAAATTGTTTCGTTTAACTTTTCAAACAAATAAATACATTCTTTAAAATTTTTGAGAACATGTTGTATTACTAATGCCAAAAGAGCGTATAAAAATTCTACAATCTGTTTGATGATCTATATTATGAATAAATCTGTGGGTAAAATTAAAAAAAATATATTTTTTGACATACACCTTGTTGGCTTCAAGAAAAAAAATTTTTAAAGTTAAAAGGGCGTATAAAAAAAAATATTTATTGTGTCAAGAAAATTTTCTTTATAGAAGTATTTTTTTTTTCCGCAAATAACATGAAATATTAATTTTTAGATTAATATGTTTGTTCATATTTATGTTAATAGTAATTGTATTATATCTGATTTGATGATCATAGGGCTAATATAAGCGCAGAGGGACATTAGGCGATAAACGACGCCTAGAAACGCATTTTCATTACTACACAGTTGCTGGTTGCTGCTGGGATTAAGTTTAAATGAATAGGAAGGCGTATTGCGCAACAATCACTTTAATATAACTATCGGATTTCAGTTAAGTAGGGAAATTCCAAGTTAATCCGAAAATCAATTAACGATTAAATGGATAAAGGGATTAAATTTAATTGCATTATTATTATATCTGTATAAATATATTCGATAAATATACAGGGGCTTGTATTGTGTTGTAGCTATTTTAGTTTACTATTTATAATATAAATAATAAATATAAAAAGTTACTCACTTCATGTAGTCGGGTTTGCAGAGGATCATGTTGTTTTTGTAGTAACACGATGTGCCCAAATCGGCCAGGGGTCTGTGGCAACAATTACACTTGAGACAATTATTGTGCCAATAACGCTCCATCGCGTGGAGTAAAAACCTTTCATTTATCATCCCGCCACAACCCGCACACTGATGTATAGGCGTTACACCTGGCTCTTGCTGTAATCAGACCAATAAATCTATTAATTATTGCTAATTATAATTATCTATTATTTTTATAACATAATAATTTTATTTTTACGGAAAAATTATAGCTAAAATAATCAATCATAAGCTAGCATTTACTGTCATAAGTGAAATCCTCAAATGTCATAGAAGTTTTTACTTATGATTTATTAAGTTAATTTTCACTTATGCATCAATAAAGCCCATTTGTATTTTCTTATTTTCTAAGAGTTTCTAATTTGCTTTGTCATGGTTATTTTTAGCCAAATGTTTTTAAAGGCTTTTTCCTGTTTTGTTTCTAAGAATTGTATGGGTGAAAAGATATTAGAGACTAAAATATATAGTTAATCTTTTTAACTGAATGAAATTTTTGTCACAAGACGAGGGTGAAATCTTATTTGACTCTAATGCTTAAATAATTGCTTTTTAATGATCGTAATAAATCATAGTATTTATATTTTTGGAGGTTACTTTTAACCTAAAGCTATCCTATTAGTTGGTAAGTTACTTGAATTTTTAAAACGCAAAAAATTAAAATGATTGAAAATAACTCAAATTTAATTTTTTAATTATTTACGATATAAAACAATAATTAATAATTTATTTTTGAAATTTAAAATAAATAAACTGCTCGAGTTTTTATTTGCTAAAAAACTTACAAACCAAGTTTTGTAAAATTTAAAAATTACAAGTATATATTATTAATTCAGCGATAATATTCAGTAAGAGCTAAACTAAACGGTATTGTGAATAATAAGAGCTCTTTGACCGAAATCACGCACCCGTATCTTTTTACGCAAAAGGCAATCTCCTCAAAATCACTCGCTCGCGACGGTCACGCGTAGGAAAGACCACCAGAAAAAGTATTTCATTTACAACTTGCCACGTAGAAAAAAATCAATTCTTTCATTATATCATTAAGAAAATAAAAAAAAAAAAAAAAGTTCATTTCCCGTCGATTAATCCGATGACATTCAATTAAACAAAACAATTATCTCCTCCGAATTTCCTTTTACAGTGCTCCAAATATAATTACTAAAATGACCTAGTTGAAACGTAACAACAACATTATAATTAAAAACGAGAGCCATTGAAAGAAAGTCGATTACGATTGAATCACCCGTACAATACAATTAAGTCCGGCGTGTACGAGCCTCAATCCGGATAATACAACTTGTGTACATATATACACAGCACAAAACTCCAGACATGAGGCTGAGAAACGGGACATTAGAATCTCAAAAGCGGAACGCGAATCATCTTTAAGGATCTCGAAATCCAAGAATGTCCTTGCGGTTGGTGCTTACAGTGCGTCGTCCGCGAGAATTCATCTCAACGAAATAAAACGTCGCGTCGCAGTAAATATTCTTTTCTTTTTTTTCTCTACAATATATCCAGTTCTCTCTTCTAGAATAATACCAAGACCACTTCGCTCCTTCTTGCCCTCCGTAACAGATTTAAAACAGACTTCCTTTCTCGAGAGCAGTAGGACAAACAAGTATAGGCACTTGTTACAGGGAGTTTAAAACGGCTTATCCATAACATTACATTAAATGAACACATTCATACTACAAACCAGTGGAATAATTAAATAACAACTAAATTAAAACTCACTTTTATGTCCAAAGGAAACTGATACTTTTGATTCATTCGCGCATTCATAGCGCCGAAATGATGATGACCGACCATCGCCATCGATATAATCCGGCGTCAATTAGTCAATAATAAATCCACTAAATAATATCAATAATTATCCTTGTATCCTTGTATTTATAAGTATGTAGAATTTTCAGTATTTCCAGGAATAAACTCAACTTAAACTAGAGTAATCTCTCATGGAAGTAAAAGGAGTATAAATTTATCCAATAAGTCTTGATAAACGGGAAATACTGAGTACAGGCACTTAAACAATCACTTGAATGAGTATTACTCTGAAAGCACTTGTATTGGCAATGCCGGGGGATTTAAATGTCGGAGATTAAATGTGTATTATGTGCGGTGAGTGAAACTCATGTACAATGAAACGTAATTAAATATACACGAGAGTAATTGAATATATAGGAGAACTAAAAGTGTTCTGTATTTATCTATTTATTTATCTATCTATCTATCCATCCAAGTTAATATAAACTGTTGTAAAACGTAAGTAGAGTGACTCAGAACTGAACACGTTGATCGTACCCACACGCAACCCAACAACACACGACTGGTTACTGGTTACTGGTTACTCTCAGACTCAGACGTTTCAGTAAAATCACCACGATACGAGTAGGGAGAACGAAAAGAAACGGAGAGTGAAAAACACTGCACTGAGAGTGAGAGAGACGGAGAAGGAGATTTTACTGACTGAGAGAGTGAGTGAGTTCGTTCTAAATGGTGTAAAAGTATAGAGCGCACTGTGAACAGTAATGTATAATATAATGTGTAATGTGTAATGTACAATACAAGGATAGAAGCTAAGAGTGAGGAGTATAAACTGTAGATGGTAGATGGTTTTTGAAGTAAGAAAAAATATTGTGCACAATCCACAATAAGACGAACTAGCCCCGACCGAAGTCAGGACCCAACTGACTGGACGGGGTCTGTCGGATGGCTTTGGGACCTGAATGCCTCTCGGGGTCCCTGGGTTCAGGTACCCCGTTGCGTTCTTTCCGAGGTATAGATGACGTGGAGGGGGATACCGATGAAGAATATGTACAAAAAGAAGATAAAGAGCCTAGAAAGGACCTAACGAACGTGCTAAGGGGGAAGGGTCCCATTGGTTGTTATGGTGGTAGTCCGAGTGGTGGGGGAACCAAGCTGCTGTCTCCCTCTTTCTTGGATATGAATATATATATATATATATATATATATATATATATATATAGATATACAGCAGTCTCTCGTCCTTAATGCTCTCTGGATCTCTCTCGCTCTCGAAGGACTTGGAGAGCGACCCCGCAACACTCTTTGCCCCATTCAATTATATTTCTCCATGGTAAATGCCCATATTGTTACGTTTGTCAATGGCGAGCTAAGTGAGGGTCACGTAGCCGGATAATGCCCGTGGAATTTAAGCTGAGAGGCCCCTCTGTGGTGCTGTAAGGCTCTGGTGCCCCTCATCATTAACATCAGTCTTTTGCACTCTTTCCGTTAGCTCCAGCATCTTCTGTCGCTCTGGAGACTTTGCTATTATAAGTAATCTCGAGACTGCCTCGGTGTATGTAAGTTGATTGAGTCCCGTACCGATGTGTCATTCTCAACACGTCAACCATTTCATTTTTTTCGTCATCATTTGTACAATACTCGGAATAATGACGTCATTTAGATGAAAAACAAATTTGTTGGATTATATTTCTGGGTTTACTTTATATTATTTGGGTTGGGGTATAGAAAGAGGAGAATTTGCTAGGCTTGGAGGAATAATATCAGTCATTATTTATAAATAGTTTATTTTCTGGTTTGCTTTTATTTAGTAGAGTAAAAAGATTTTATGGGTTTTTTTATTTGGATGCAAATCTACACTGTTAAAAAAATTGCGGAGTTGATAGTTTTTGATTGATTTAATCCCTTTGAGGTGAATTTATTCAGGATTTTATTTATATTATTAATAAAAAAAAAAAATTCGTAGAGAGAATTATTTATTTTTTTTATTGAATAAAAAAATAATCGTTATTCTTTTAAAAATTATAAAATACGTATTTAGAAATTTTGAAAATGAATGAAACCTTTTTCGTTTATTATATATATGTATTTTTTTTTATTTCTAGAAATAGCATTTTTCGATAAATTCTCTGGGAAAATTTGGATCAATGTTCTAAAAAAATTATATCTTTTAGGAAAATATAATTAATGTTTTCTCTAATTTTTTGCAAAAAATTACAACTATGAATACTCGAATAGCAACCAAAAAATGTATAACAGTAAAGACAAGTGGTGAAATTAATATTTAATCATTTTTATAGCCAATTATCTTAATGAAATTTTTTAATAAAAAAATGTTAATGTCACTTTTTAACTCCCATTTAATTTTAATTAATTTTGTGAAACGAATTAAATTATTATAGGTATTATTTTTTTCAAGATAAATTTAAGTTTAAACTGTTGTACTCAATAACAATAACGATAACGATAATGAACATGTGGATGTATAAGTAGATAATAAAAAAAAAAAAAAAAGACGAAATATATAATTTAACAGGAATACGAAATATCTTTGGCAATGCTTCCGCCTACTGGCTTTCTCTCTTCGATGATCGTTGTTGCTGAACCACCATACCACGCGCTTAGAAAGTGTAGGCCAACAAACAGCACTCTGCTTAGCTGGAGAACCGACACGAGCTCATGCTAGTTTCAACAACCTTAACGATGATGCAAGAATCTCGACTGAGAATACAACTAAACAGAGAGCTATTATATATGTATACATATAATACAACTTTATACATATATATAATACGTATAAAAAATACTAGACTAATCCTGTACCCACAACCTCGGACGCTTATGTATCAAGTCTACTCTCAATATTTATTTCTCATCCTATCCACCGGTCGCCAGTAGAAAATATTTTTTCACACGATCTTATCATCAGTACACCCGAATGTGAACCCTTGTGTCACCAATAAATATCTTACACAATAAAATACAATCTCTATTATTGTTAACTCTCCCCAATACCAATTCAATAGCATTACTATCGACTTGTATTCGTCTATGTACACAGACCTAACACACATACTTTTATTCCGTCTCAATCACATTCCACAACAGCTCAGCAATTTTAAATATCTACTGTAATCACAAGACTTATCTAAATTCCAACGATAAATCTATCTGGTAAATAAATAAATAATAAATTGTCTCTAAGTAATAGATTGACCTTGCACATCACTCCAAAAACCACGGGGTTTTTCATGTTAAAAATAATTGAAGAATATCTGTACCTTTCTTAAAAATAATTGATTAGTTCTACACAATATTTCTTCCAATTATAAATAATTATTAATTCAAAGCTTAAGTAAAAAACAAAATCAAAAATTCTTCTATTTTTGCAATGATGAAAAAAAAAAATCTTAAATAATTCTTTAAAAATTTGATCATTTTTAAATAAATTTTTTTTGCTTCAAAAAATTCATCAATTAAAATTTTGTAATTTTTGTTTCAAGAAATTGTTTGATGGATAATAATTTTTTTTTCACTAAATAAGCATATAAAAATAATTCTCACCTTTAAGGAGCAATTGTTGTTATTGTGATTAACAGGAGGATACGCAGGGTGTCCTGGTAAGTGGGGGTGTGTGTGAACGGAGTGGTGAGGATTTTCACCCATCATGCCTCCGCCGCCGCCGTGGAGATGTCCATTGCTGCCCATTCCCGGAGTGCCAGACATGGAACCATAGGGAGTGCCAGGATCACCCTGTCCTGAGTGACTTAGCGGCGAGTGAGGACTCGGAAGGTCAGGTGTCGAGGTACTATTGCTCCCTGCTCCGCTGCTGGCACCTCCAGCGCCACTTCCGCCGCCACTATTGCCACCTCCAGGGGTTCCGTATCCTCCGTGATGGGGCCCGCCGGCCCCAGGATGGTGCGGACTACTCGACAACGAGGGGTGGTGCGGGTAGGCTGCGGAGTGGCCCGGATGGTGGGGGTTCATACCAGCGGTCAAAGCGCTCGCCAGCTTGACCAATTAGATGGGTGGGCCTGAGAGCCCACCGACTTCGCGTCGCGAATAAATATAGACACTTAATCTGCTGATTACTCCGAGCTATTCGCGGATTAGTTCTATTTGAGTTACCGCTGCTTCTTCTTCTTTTTTAGCTCTTTTATCTGTAACAGTCAATAAAAATGAAAAATTAGTAACCATGTATTGTTGAGTTGAAAAATATCTTATAAAATTTAATAAATTATTGTCTATATAAATTTCTTTAATAGCTAGTTTTAACCCCTGACAAGCACACTGGGTAAAAAGTACCCACCCCAAAATTTTATTTCGTTATAATTTTTTGTACATATTTAAACTTCAATTGTATATTTATCTATTTTAATTGGCACTAATTAATTGCATGCCTTAAGCGCGAAGCGCGCAGGTATGCTCTACTCTCGCCTAAAAATCGTGATTTCGATTAAAATGTGATTTTCATAATTTAAACGAAAAAAATTATGGATAAAAAGCATATTGAAATAAATAATAGTAACTATAGAACACGTTAAAAAAATTTTTTTATCGATTAAATAAGATTTCTCAGAAAAAACTCGTATTTCTGATGAATTAAATGGATAAGAGCGTGGTATCCACGGGAGCTATGGGCTTGCCAACACCACAACTTTGTCAAAAATCACTTTCACGATTTAATTTTTTTTGTTTTATTCCTGAGGAAGTTTATCAAAACCCTTGTGAAAATTGCGTGTCAAAATAATTCCGTTTCGATACAGTTAATTTTTTTCGATTGTCAGTTCGGTGACTTTTTCTGTGATTTCGGCAGCCATATGTATTATTTTTCATAAACAGAATTGAAATGAGTATAAACAAGCAGAAACTATACATACATGATGGTATAATTACTAACTGTTTTATCATCTGTTAAAATTTTTCTTTAGTTCGACCTACAGAGGGGATAATACTACTCGCGGGAAAATTCAAATCAAAAACGAATAATTTTTGCTACGATCTAAATAATTTATGTATGACATGAGCGCTTAAGGCATGCTCATTTGGATTTTCCAAACTTTTTTTTAATATTATATCTAATTTATAGAGAATTTTTTGAGCTTTGATTTAAAAAAAAAAAAATTCTCTAACTTTATTAGAAACCAAGATATTTGAAAATGAAATATGTTGGGTACTTTTCACCCTCAATGCCTAAAGAGGTATACGATTTAGATGTGTGCTTGTCAGGGGTTAAAATTGAATAATTAAATTTATCGAGAGTAATTGGAGTGAAAATTTCAACAGTTAAAATGTTTTAGAATTAACAGCAATTTATTTAATTAAACATTTGACAACTTTTTTTGTGCAAATGATTATAAAAGAAAATTCTTTAAAAGCTTCACTGATAAAACATTAATTTGATTAAAAAAAAAAGTCATAAGTCAAGAAAATAATTTTTTAGAGATTCATCTTGAACCAAAACGAAATATTTTTAAATTAAACAAAATAAACTTAAGCCCAAAAAAATTTTTAGTTCAATAATTTTTTTTTGTAAAGAATTTTTTTCTTGAATCAAGTTAATTTTTTATCAGTACATGATTTATTAAGTTCTCTTTATTACCGAAAAAAAATTTTTTCTACCTAAAGTACATCAGAAAAAAAGAACTTCAATTAATCTAATCAGAATTATAATAATATTAACTAAAAACCATCATAAAAATTCATCAATCCCCTGATTACACCATGACAACTCCAACCTTGAAAGCCCATCTCCCCGAAAATTTTTCCGAGTAAAATTACCTCGCGAACAATTTGTTTTGATGCGGTATATAAATAAACACAAACATATACAAATATATCTGAGCACGCATGTATGTGTGGTGAATGTATACGGAAATAGCAATTCCGCTTCACGAATTCCATTGTAGAAACGAACAAAGCTTGCTCTAATTACTCGCCTTTATGATCTTTTCCGGCGTCCAATCAGATCTTCTCATTTCCCTCCGCCCTCGAGAAAGTAATCTCATTAACTTGCTACCGCTCTGGTGACCTGCTCGCGTTCTCTCAGTCCATCTCATTTGCTGCTATCGTAACAGAGTTCACCAGCTGTTCATATATATATACATACATACATATACATTATATACAAAAGTATTGCCTCACCGGTACCGATGATATAATTTTCTTTACTAATTTATTTTTTAAACTTATACCAGTTTAAATTATAAATTAAAACTTTTCCTTTGTTCGACTTAATGCGTCCATTTATTTTAACAGCTATTATTTTTCCGGAGAATCCAGTTTATTTTATAAATATTTATCTTGGTAATCTGTTAAATTAAAATTAAGCTCTACTTAAAAAAAAAAATAATAATAATAATAAATGATTTATACTTCATTTATTTTGGATGAAGTTAAAAAGTTACCGAAAATGTCTCATTTAACTGATATTATTTTCTTAGGCTTTACCTGGGGCAGGCTCCGATATTCCCATATGGATTATACACATACATATACACACACACACACACACACACACACACATACGATATAATAACTATAAGTATAAAGCATGAGCTCCAGAGTAGAGAGGCCTGTGGATGCCGCCGATTCTTAATTAATAACGACGGTCCTTCTCGGTAAAACTCAGCGTGTGGTTTTTGGGACACCATCACCCATCAGCCGGCTCTCACGATCTTTTAAAATTCTCGAAACGTGTGTATGCGTGTGTGTGTAGGACTTAATACATCATACATAATAGTGTATAGTAGTCCTCAGTCCTCACACAAAATAATTATTTCGTTCCCCGGCAATTTACTCGGCATGACAAAATAAAATAAGCTGAAAAAATAAATGACTGTATTTTTGAAAATGAACCTGGATATTAGTTGCGTATTTGCAAAAAAAAAAAATTACTAAATTCTATATTTATCCCTTGAGCTAAACGTCAATTTCACTGATAATTACTCTAATATGAGTTGCGGTGTAGTGTATTATATAAAATAGGGAAACCTTCACCACCGTTATCAGCATCACCTGCCAGCTGTTGCATTCAATTATATAAAACCCACGAGTGCTAATTTTGACGTTGATTGGTAAACCATTAATCGTTTATTCCGGCCCTCAGCTACACTAGTGATTTTTTTTTTTTTTTAATTGAATGTCTGAAGAGATTGTCGTTGAAAATTTTATTGTCCATGAATTTTTTAAATTTTCAGATGTAATAAATTAATTTTCATTATTTTCAATAAGATAATAGCATCAATTATTAACATTACAAAGGGAAATATTATAATTTTATTTTTTACTTGTATTAAAATTTAATATTGTTATTATGATTAAATTAATTCTTAGTTATAAATTAGGTTATAAAAATATAGCAATTATTGATTAATAAATGAAAATAAATTATTGAAATTTTCAAAACTTTGCACGTTTGTTTGAGAAAATGTAATTGAAATTCAGAATAAATTTAATAGAATAAAAATCAAAATAAATAAAGAAATGTATGATGAAGATAAAGAAAAAGCGATGAGCAAAATGATCCCAACAATTGTTGTCGAGTGCGTGCTTGAGTATATAAAGTGACTTTTCTTGACGTAGCGGAAGTGACCTCACATGCGATAACGAGACGATAGCACACATTTGCAGCTATAAATACCCCAGACATACACAGTACATTACACACAGCAGAGCAGTAGTCATATACAATATCCATCGAGTGTGTAAGTGTACTGGTAATTACCAGAATGATAATGACGAAGTTTAATACAGACAGTCGGTCTCCCGTTAATGAGTGTGAGTGAGTAAGAGAGAAGAACACTGAGGAGAACCACCGCAGAGGAAGCTAAACGATGATCAACCAGCCGATAGAGATAATTAACGATCACGATCGTACGAAAACGAGGACGTCGAGTGCCACAAGGACGATTACAACCGATAATAACGAGATGCTGCCGATGTTGTTTCCGATAAGAATGATAACGAGGACGTCCGTAGGCGATAGAAACAGCGATAACTCCGGCTTAATTTTATATCAATAGAACTAATGCGCGTCACTTCATTGTTTACGGTTGTTATTATTATTATTATATTAACCACCATCGTTCATCGTTCCGTCTATTTATTTATTGTAATTGTTAGGTAGGATAATTGTTACACCAAGAATTTTTTAAATATATATTTACGATATGACAAAATAAAAGTACCCGCCCGAGGCACGAGGATAATTACATGATCGTTAGGTTCTCTCGATTTCGTTGTGTGATTCTTCCGAGAAGTCTTGAGGGCATATGATCATGAGAAGGTGGATCATCTTCGTGTAGAAAAGTACGCCTTTTCATTTGCCTCAACAAAACCTTAACCTTCGCAGCTGTGTCTGTCTGTCTGTTTGTATACATATACATTTATACATCTACACATCTAATAAAGGTCCACGGTAACAAACAGACGAACCCGCTCATCTTTCGCATAATTACTATAATCGTTTTCACCAATAATTAGATTATTTTTCAAGCGACTTCTCACTCGCTCTTTCAACAACATTTCAGTCTCTCCTTTCTTCAAAGTTCTCCGTTCTTTCTCTTGTGTTATTCCCAATACAACAACTAATCCATTCACCAACAACTAATACTAACTACCAATACCAATACAACGACTATAGTACCAAAGATTCTTGGTCTGAGTCTGTTCTCTTGGACTCTACTCTGTAGAATCCTTCTTTATTCGCCCTTAGTCTCTTTTTGCCTGTTAGTCTATTCGAGCAGTCATTATACCTCAACTCGCACCAAAGTTATCATTACCCGGGTATTTTATTTATATTATTTATTGCGTTATTTTAACTTGCTTTCACCTGAGCTTTGTTTTGGTTTCATTTTAAAAGGCTTGTATTATTATGTTTGACTTGCATGCTTTGTTTTAGTTCAAGTTTGTCTTTAAACTCACGCGGATTCTCGAGAAATCGGTCAGTTTACTGCGATTATTTTCAGCATTCGGTGTATTACTTT